TTCTTCTTCCCTGCCATTATTGCAAACCTATCCTATTACCAGTCTTGCTCCGCCCGCTATCGCCCGCATCACACGACAGTCTTCAGCGAAACTGGAGGACCCATGGAATATCAGGATGAAATACTCCATCAACCATGTCACTACTGAATGTGTTAGACCTTTCCTAGACCTTTCCCAGTTTCGCTGAAGTCCATCGAGAATACGCGTGATAACGTCTGGAGCTGACCTGGCATATTTATCTCACATCTGTAAACACCCAGAATTTTTCTTGAATTCAGATAATTTAGCGGCGAATACGAATTTCTTGCTGTCAGTCTCAAAATGAAAACGAAATATGTTTATTCACATATAAGTGAGGAATTGATGCTTATCATTTGTTTACATTCACCATTATTTAGAACCCCGAAAGGATTAGCGGGCCTTCAATGAAGGGTTGGGCTATTCTCACTAGAAACGAAAATCTTGATCATTTGCCCTGAACGACTTGATTTGAAGTTCTTTCCTAATAGCATTGTCCATTCAAGTAAGCTGGTCATATCGATACAATGTGCATGTACCCACCACAAATAGAATTCGTAATTGAGGACGCTCTAGTGTCAACGCGAGCTGGGTAACGGAATCTCGGGACGACTTTTTGAGTGCACGCCCTTATCAGCATTCAGTTGCTATCGCTTTCAGCTATATACCACAATGTCCCGTTCCACCCCTTATAACACTCGTAAGTAGGGACGCTCTAGTGTCAGTGCAAGCTGAGTAACGGAATCGACGACTTTTGCGTTCTGACGCCCCTTATCAGCCCGTACCAGTTGTAACCACTTCTATCACCCATCAACAATGTCCCGTCCCACCACTGCTATAACATGTGTAAAGTTATTACGTACACTGTAAGGGACGCTCTAGTGTCAGCGCAAGCTGGGTAACGGAATCGACGACTTTTGCGTTCTGACGCCCCTTATCAGCCCTTATCAGTTGTAACCACTTTCTATCACCCATCAACAATGTCCCCGTCCCACCCTTATAACACTTGTAAGTAGGGACGCTCTAGTGTCAGCGCAAGCTGGGTAACGGAATCGACGACTTTTGCGTTCTGACGCCCCTTATCAGCCCTTATCAGTTGCTATCGCTTCCATTCATGTACCACCATTGTCCCGGGACCACCCCACATAACACTTGTAAGTATAGACGCTCTAGTACCAATATGAACGACAAAACGAAAATTGGCGATGCTCGCTTTCTAGCCCCTCTTATCAGCTATTATCAGTCGTTATCAGTTCCTATCACGTACCACTTGAGTCCCCATCCCACCCCCTATAACATATGTAAGAACCATGGCGCTATCGTTGCTGTGACCCGAGCTACGAATTTCGTGACAAACACACACACACAGACCTACACACACACAGAACCAATACTTAGCCGATTCTATATATAGTGGATGCTCGAATGATAACGAAGCGTTCTCCATGCCTGCCACGCCACCGTTTCGTTCTACAGAATAACATCCTTCGTTTGCTCAGGATGGAAGAAGGAATCTGCCATTCAGGATTTTCTTCTTTAAATGCCAAATATTCCACAGAAGCGCGAGACTCTCCACCAACGAATCCACCCACTGCAAATTGTAATCGAAATCGAGAGTGAGTGAAGTATGTAGTAAACTTACTCGCTAGCATCCATGAAAACCTATCAAAATACAACAGATGAAGTAGCGGTCGGAAGTACAGCCGAAAAAGGAGAATATCGACAAGGGACACAGACATCCGCCACATAAAATGTCTGCACTAACGAAAGCGTACGAAAGAATACTGACAAGTATGGTGAAAATCGGGCCGCGTTTCTAGGAGCCCCCTACCTTAACATGAGCTTCCCTCGTTCACACTCCAAGCAAATGTTAGTTTTAGAAACACGACAGAATGCACCGCTGCATGCCAATTGTGAACGGTTCAAGAGGTTAAGCCTTGAAGGCAAAAGTCGGGCTCAATAAGGGGGTATTATGGCGATTGAAACTGAGTATAGAGATGCGAAGTGGAACGACAGTGGAGAAAAAACTGAGAAAAACCGTCGACAAGGCCGTTAACAAAACCCTCTTTCCCACTAGCAGTGAAGGAGGCTGGCTTGGGAAAGAGGCACGTACAAACAAGTTTTCTGGAGATGTCAGTCGTTCTATCGGTTGATACGGCAATCAACCTAGCTGATTTCACACGTTATGCCAGCCACGCACCACATCCCGAGGTGGGCGGTCGTAGCGGGGCCAGGCGGCGATAGCGCATAGTACGTGCCCTGGGCCTTATTACGGCGCCGTTTGAGATTCTGAGCATGGTAACGTCTCTGTGGGTGCGTAGCCATGCACAAAGACGACAAAAGGTCCACTGAGCCTGACTCGTGCCTTTAATCCAATATCGCAAAGAATGACTTTTGTTCCATCCTTTCAGGACTATTTATTTCGTGTTACAAGCCGGCAAGTAGAAAAGAGAAGCAGATACTGCCTACAGGCACTTGAACAGTCTCGAGTTCCAGTGGAGTGGCATGAACTGAAAACCGCCAAATGTGTTCTCTATTTGGTAGGCTATACTCTCTCTATCCAGTCATTTCCACAAGGAAGGACAGATTCTGGAGCACGAGCCTGCTATATTCTGAATTGTAGTAAGCTTTTTCTAGTCATGTCTTATTCAAAGAAGTGGCTACTACGTGAAGAAGTGGCTACTAGCATCTGTCGAGGAGGATGAAATTTATACGCGAGTATTCAAGATTTGGAAGACTATAATATTGCTCAATGGCAATCTTAACCCTTTGACGACCGCGCGCTCTAAACGTGTCTAGCGTGTGGGACCGCACGCCAGACACGCATGTGGCCCGCCGGCGGGCCATACGGTCCCAGGAGACCACTTTTTTGCTTAATTATACCACACGCCACATGCTGACTTCCAATTTCTTCGATGGGAACCTTGGGTATGGTTAGGGTTTTTGAAGGCAGCCGCCTGCTGCACCTGGTAGACCGCCAAGTTTTACTTACACCTTTATTTGTATTAAACCTACTTGACAATATTTTTCACAAGACCATACAGTTGTCGTCGTGACGGTAAAAATTGGCACAAGGACTACTGCTCCGATTTTTCAAAAACTACCACATGCGTTGCGTTCTTATTCTTGGTAATGATGCTATTTTTGCTGATATTAGCAATAGAAGTGTGTTTGTTACTATTGTCTTAGGGTTTCTCCTTAGAAGAAAGCAATCAGTGGACCACTGTGTACATAGCGTTGTTAGGGCAATGTGTACATATTTAGTCATTGAGAATTTCAAAAATGTCAAAACGGAGGAAATACAAGAAATCGGTTGCCATGGCCCGCCGGCGGGCCATACGGTCCCACACGACCGACTTGGTGTGGCCCGCCGGCGGGCCATACGGTCGTCAAAGGGTTAAATTTGAGCTCTGTCATTCTGATAGGTGCTGAAGGTTCTGTGTGTTTTCTGATTCGCGAGAAAACCGCGTCGAAATTTTCCAAAACCCTCAAAGTGCTTCTAGATAATTCGCTCTGATGGATTAAATGGGAAGTGATAAACTTGGTGCAGATCCATTTTGACGTGGTACGCGTCATGCAATGTCCCTATCGGAAGCATTAGAAAGGTTTTTGCCTGAACGACAGCTTGCTTTTGCAAGCTGGTTGCGTTTCTGGTCTTGAATGATAGAATCACTCTTATAGCTCTAGTACAGGGTCACCAGTCCTCCACTTACGTCTCTTCCCTTCCAACCCTGTTTCGATGAATGAAGCAGTTACAGCTGCTGGCAAGAAGGTTGCTAATACTCCCGTTTAGATTTTTACAGATATCCTGCTTTCAAATTAGACTCTCAAAGAGCGAAGATTAATTTAGAGTAGGTATTTCACATTTACATCAACTACAATTCTTTCGCCCATCTCCTTCTTATGTCATCGTCTGATCACTGTTAACCGAGGCACCAAGCATTTTCCACCAAAGTTTCAGAGAGTTTCGAGATGCTAGGTTGTTGGAGGAGTCTTTACGATTTTCGTCACTTTACACGCTGGTTTTCGAAACGGGAGTGTCCACACCAGCTTGCGCAAACGATCGTTGCGTAGTTCGAATCCACGTCCCGATCAGGCAAAACTTTTAAGCTTGGAGTCTCCCTCACAGAAGTATCAGACCAACTTTGCAGAGCATT